ATGAGTTTGTTTGGCAGGAATATAAGTTTGTTTGGAATGAAAATGAGTTTGATGCAGGGGCGTCGCTAGCCTTTACAATTTCAGGGGGCTCAACTAAAATAATTGATTATACATTTTTAAAATTTGTTAACTCTGAACAATTATTCTAAATTTAATATTTTGTCATTTATTGTATTATGCATACAAAATAAACTGGCATATAAATAATTAAAACAATACAAGACATTTATAAAAATAATATTTTTTAATACAAAATCTATTTATTACAGTATAAAATATTTTCGATTTCTGATATAAAAAAACTTCCGTCTAAAGAATTACAAGTGATAAAAAAAGTTAATTAATTCATACATATTCCTCAACTCATAGGCGTAGCCAGGATTTTCCTAGAGGGAGGGGGGGGGGAATTAAATAATTACTGGGGGCTTCGTTTCCAGACCCCCTTTTGGGCGGGCCTTCGGCCGCTTTTGCCAAGCCTTCGGCCGGGTTACCTTAGTCTATATATAAATATAAAATATTTTTACAAATTTTAATAAAAAAAATAAGCCTGGAACAAATATGAAATATATTTTTATTATTATATAAAATATAATAATTTACTTGTATATACATTAATATAAAAGCATGGTAATAATTTATTCCAAACAATTATAAGAAATTTATTTATAAAAAGTAAGTAGACATATAGTTGATATTCCTCTATTATATAGAAATAGTTACAAAATACTAGGTAAAATTCCACTTTTACAGACATATTTGAAAGTTAGAGAATATATTAGAGTTTAATTTAACAAATTTTACTAATCAATGCTATTGATAATAAATATAGCAAGAATTTGCATTCAATTATTTAACGCCATCTATTTATTTTAAGTAAAAATTGATATTAAAATTTAATCTTCATATTATTTATCCCACAATGTCTTTAAAGGTTTTTTTTTGATGTCCTTATCAATATTTTATAGTTTTCTGTAAAATATATAATTCGCTATATGTCATATGATAATTGATAAAATTAGATATACTGTAAATCTACGACATATAATATTACAATGTTTGTATTGTTTGTTTTATTACAATTCTGAACACAGCACATTCCCATTATCTAAATAAAATAATAAATGATAGTGATATTAAAAGACATGTTTTGTATGTATCCTAAAATGCATTAACATATGATTTATAAGTCCATACTGAATTATGTTAAACTATATTTTAAAAAATTAAAAGGAGGGTTAGTCTTAGAATCATTTTTTTTAGGTATAATCAGCTAATCTACGTTCATAAAAATTCACTAGACTAAGAAATAATTAAAACAAATTATAATCTTACCATAATATTTAAGAATATAAGAAAAATAATATATTTCAAAGGAAACTTTTCAAAATAGATTATCTTCGTAGACTAGTTTTGGCAATATTATATATGTATTAATATTTCATGCTGACAAATAATATATATCCAAACTACAAAATGGCGCTACAGCTGATTGCAATGTGAGGACATTTTTATCATGCATTTAATGAATGAATCGCCAATCTATGTTATATATATCATTGATTGTGCTTTAATATTTTTATTTAATTTATGATTTAATTTTATCAATAGTTTTATAATTATATTTTACTTTTATTAGGATAAATAAATTAAAATTACTCACTTTATAAAAAATTATATTTGATATATAATATTATTTAGTAATTTTATGGATCTATTATTAATAATTATAATATATTTCACTTTTGTCTTAAGACTTATCTTTGGCTTATATTCCATTTATTAAACATTTTTGGTTCATTATATATATTTATAAATTTATTTTCCCAAATATGTATAAATTATGATGAATAGTTTTATAAAAAATATCAACTTTTACATTCTTTCTTTCAAATTATTGTTTAAGATATATGCATACATTTTCGAGAGTCAGGGAGTGGGGGGGAGGACTAAGGTGGATATTTTTTTTAGCTAAAAATGATATTTACAAAAAGTAATAAATTTCTGAAGGGGGGGGGATTTCCCCTGCCCCCCCCCCCTGGCTATGCCTATGCCTCAACTGATAATAGTTTTTAAAAACAATATAATGCAATAATATAATTATTAGCAACTTACATTGACAAAAGGTTATGAAACCAATATAACTTTCTATTACAATTTTAGGCAATGTTTAGAATGGCCTAATAAGGAAAAATTTAAAGGCCTAAACCAAATCAACCATTCTTGAAGAAGAGAGTATAAACGACCAATCCAAATCATAAAACTATATGGTGGTTAGAGCTTCCTCTTAGATGACATGATGGAAGCTAGATAAGTAATCGAGAAAATTATTGTGAGACTAAATTAATGATATGTAAACGACTACACAGTTAACCATTATTGTTTATCTAAAATATGCAATCATATGCTCTCAGCAGCTGTAGTTTTTATCTTAAATTACATAGCAACACAAATAATAGTTGCTGCTTAATTTGCAGTCATAGCCATGACACTCGCGATGTAAACGAATATCAGAATTTATTATGTTACATAAGTGGATAAAATAGAAACACTAAAAATCTTTGGACGAAATAATTATGCAAATATATGGAAGCCTTGAGTTATTTATTCGGCAAGGATACCATATTAGAAATTAAACATTTTATACCTATAAAATAAGGACCAGAACGATATGATAAAACAATTAAGATTGATACTGTCGCACCACCTCTATTTGGTATATTGTATCTTAAAATAATAGTAGTTTGTAATAATAACAAAATATACTTGTATTAAAAATTTAACTCAAAACTGTTTCGAAAAAGAAAAAAATAGCTTTCCTTAAAATATGTAAAAAAAAGAGAAGAAAAGATATATAATTTATTACATTTATTGTAGGATGAATAATAAGATGTTTAATAATAGAATTATTTTTAACTAAATAGATGGCGTTATATACTTGAATGCTAATTGTTACAATATTTATTATCAAAAGCATTTATTAGTAAAATTTATTATAATTTAATATATTATATAAATCTCAAATATGTCTATAGTGACATTTATCTAATATTCTGTAACCAACTGTATATAATAGAGGATTATAAACTATATATCTATATGTCTATTTACTTACTTTTTATAAAGAAATCTCTTATACTTGTTTGGACCTTGAAAATATTTTTAGGAATAGGTATGATAATTTAATTTAAAAATAAATATACAGTTGATTAGTCATTTTAAACTCGGCTAATTACAATATTAAATTTGTTAGTTTTCAATTAATAATTGATTGTATTTATTCAATTAGGGCTATATAATAATTTAAATAATAATAATCAATTAAGCTTCAACTGTTAAGGCTTTTAGTGAGTGATATTGATATTCTATTTTTAACACAGAATTTGATTGCAAGCTGACATAGTTAAAATGAAAATATAATTTATGTGAATTAATCTAGTCTAATATTTAAAATTATTCATTAATAAAAATTTAGACACTCTTATTAATTTTTAAATAATAAAATTAAATCTATACAATACATAATAGAATTATAAAAGAAATCGTTCAGGGGTCAATCAAAAAAAATTATTTTTAGTTCAAGGGGTTATAATTCCATTTAAAAAAAATTTTTTTGCTTCAGGGGGCTATTAAAGTTTTTGAGGGGGCTCGAGCCACTGCCTCCCCTCCCCCCCCCCACTAGCGACGCCACTGGTTTGTAGAGAATGTCTATAGAAATTTAGAATTTAAATTACATTTAAAAGGTTAGCAGAAAGTTTTAAGAATATGTCTATGATTGTATGCAATATATAAATTTGGTCGATGTCAAGCAGTAATATTGAACTATAATAGGTATATAATAAAAGCATTTATTTTTATAACAATACATTTTGCTCTATTATATCTAAAAATTTAATAAATAACCCCCCCCCCCCCCCCCACAATATATTTATCTTACCCATAGATCCCTCCTCCCAAGAAAAATGGATGTAGATTGTTCCTACCCCTCTCCCCTTATCGTTTTTGGAGACGCTTCTCGCTTGTATTATATAAACATGATAAATAAATTTTTTAAAGAAAATAATATCATTCCATATGCCAACATGCTGATTCTCTATTATTTACAAGGATAATCTAGAGTTTGTAAAACATCAGAATTGAATTATCTCAGAAAAAAGAACTATTTCTCAACAAGAATTTAGAGCAGCAAGACAATTCTACTAGTCTTAAAAAATAATTTTATTAATAATTTTTCCCTTACACTTAAGAGATAACTGACATTTTAGATTTTAAAATAATTCCCAACCTTTAGCTGAATCAAACTATAAGGTGAATTTTCTATAGCTGAGCTCACAGAAGTAATTTTTATTATTATAGCTAATATAATCTTTAAGTGGATGTTAATTCGAAATTATTATAAAATCAAATTAGCATAATAAGCTTTATTCCTAAAAGTTGTTTCAATAAATTAATAATTTTAGTTCAAAAAATATCGATGTCGTCGTTCCTCTGCTTATTTGGCAGCAAATTTAATACCCCGAACCAATCGTTTTAGAAAAATGAACGTCGTCGGTTTTTAGACTGTCGGCTCACAAGTCTCATTATATGATACCTTTAAAGCAACGACATACAATAATACTAAGACTGACGATGCATTCATAATAATGCATTTGAAAACGTCGTTGAATGCAAATCAGCTGGGCACGCCATTTTGGTAACCCACTTAGTATTATTCTTATGTTAAAAACTACTATTAAATTATTAACTTGCCTCCTTGTTATCTCGATGATCAGGCAATTCTTTAATAAAATTTGCGTCAGACATATAGGAATAAATTGGTCTCTCGTTAAAATGTTTAAATAATGATACGGGTAATCTAAATGGTCTTCCCAGCTGTTTTCATTTGATGAATGCTTCGTCAGTCTATATATCATTATATGTCATTACTTTAAGAGATTTTTTCCTTTAGCACCTTTTGGACACTTTTTAAATGATATTGAAAACTTAAAAATTATATAAAATTACTAATATCATTTGATATTTTTGCCTCTATTCATTTATGGATTTTTAATTCTATTGCTTCATCATATAACTATATTATATTCAAAACACATTTTTATACACTTTTAAAGGTGGTTGATAATGGGGTTAATATTTAAATTCGTTTTTGTTTATTTCAAAGTTCATAAATTTGTTTATTTTAAAAGTTATAAAGATTGTAAATATTTTGATTTACCATTAAATATTTGACATAGACTTTATCATACAAAAGTTATAATTAAATTTAATTATATTAAATGTACATTTTTTAAAATTGTTAGGAATTTAAATTATTTGCAAGCAACATAATAACTATTAACCCAAATTTTAAAATAAGGATTTATTAATTACAAATACTAAAATTAAAAATAGTTACATATGAAAATATTTTATTATGCTACAGATCACAATATAAAGGATGATAGGATATTACTATGAATAAAATAAAATATCACAAGTCTGAATCTTCCAATCAGACTAAAATTGGTAAATTTTTTAGCTATTTATTTTTCATATTTTTTCAAGAATTTGTTGAATTTTTTATAGTATAACATAAAGGTATAATGGGAAAACACAAGAGGGCACACCTTTGAAAGTGTGGAAAAAATTTCATGACCTTTTTCATAAATTTTCAAAATATATAATGGGCATGGTGTGCTGGCTATCTGTAAACATTAATAAATATTTTTTAATTTTAGCCTTATTCACTTGTCATATTTTATTTTACCATTCATTAACCAGGTGAAAATAAATATAAAAGTGCATTTTGCTTTTTGAAAATTCCAAATTTAATGTGTTGTATGCTAATACAAAATATTTTATACAATAATAATACAATTAAGAGTTATTGCACAAATGGTAAAAAAAAATGGCTTCAAAAATCTAAATTTTTTTTATCTTCAAAATTAAAAATTATTTTAACACCAAATAAATCTTAGAATTCATCATTAAAATTATTTAGCTCAAAATATTGATTTGTATCGAGATACTATTTCAAAAAATTCTAATTTGACTAAAAATTATTAATAATCAATCATATTAAAAAATAATTATAAATAATATACTAAATTTTACATGAATATTGTTTAGACAAAATTATTAAGGTACTAATACTAAATATTTTTATAGTTATTGCTTTTAAAAGTTGTTAGGTCAGCCCATGCAAATAGGGGAGTGGCTGCCAAAATAAGATAATTTTAAGGGCTACCAAAAAAAATTTATTGTAGAGTACTAATTTTACTCTAAATCAATTATTTTTAGCTCTTCATCCTAATTTACTTACTAACAAAGTTATCTTTTAGATTTATGAAAAAAATCTAAATATATCATTAACGAAATTACCTTAAATAATTATTTGGATATCATGATTAGTTTGCCTTTAAGATATAAAAATGTATAAACCATAGTGTCATTATCAAGATTTTTGAATGGGTACTAAAGAAGACACTTGATTAGGCATCTGTTTCCAATGAGTTAATTTTTTGGATATAATTTGATGAGGGTGAAAATAAAAACTTATTTCCCATAGTAAATGATCTAAAATTAGAGTAATCTTTATAAATAGTATACCAATTTTTATTTTAAACTTTTTTTGATATATTTTCAATTATAAGTGAATAAAATATATATTTTGATTTTTGATATAAAAAGAATTAACAATATTTAAGTGCTGGGCCTGACCCAAAAACAAGCCCACTTGCCAGAATTTTTTTTTTAAAAATTATGAGCCAAGCAATTTATGCAAAATAAATTTGAACTGGGCAAGACAATCTATACTTAAAATATTAGGCAGGGCCTCACAAATCTCTGATTTTTCTAAAAATTTTAATAGACCTGCCAGGGCATTAAAAATTATACATTAGGCTAATTTTTTGATGAAAACTATTTGGAAATATATTTCAATAAGCTTATTTCTTTGTATTTTAAGAACTGTCTAACTAAAATACTATTCTATTTATTTATCTATAAAAAAATATATAGTAAATTTACAATAAAATTTAATAAATTCACAAAAAAATGAATTATTTTAGATCTGATACAATACAAATAAATGCATAATACAGATATCAAACACAATTTATTTATAAATATTTGTTGTAGAAATGATAGCTATAAAAGAAAGAGTCTTTATATTGGAAAAATAATAATTAGGATATAGATATACATACAAAAAAATTTAACGGACTGGGGTGGACAATAAGATGAAGGCCCATGGTTAGACCATTAGCTGAATTATCTGTGTGGCTCTGGCTACCTCTTTGGGATTATCACTCAATCTAGCCAACAATTTTCATTTATTTGTTTTACCAATGTGTTAATTACATCAAAATAAATGTATACCAAGGGTCACTATGCTGAATCCGTTCAGATGATGACAAAACAAATAGTTTTTACTTTTTAAACTGCTATTTGGCGATCACACTCTCCTAGCATCTCTCACTCAAGGACCTGGCTATGAATACTTAAACACCATTCCCTCTAAATATCTTGATCTCGAGCTGAGCAATCAGGAATTTGGCTTCACCTTGGCCATTAAATGTAAGAGCTTCTACTCTCTTGAGTGCGCCAAGTGTTAGTAAGCCAATCTGGCGGTTTCCCTTCAATGCACTTTAGTATTGGACGTCAGACATATAAGATGCAATATTCTAATCAAACAGACCTTACACACTGAAGGTTTTCCTGCAAATTTATAACCACCTAAAAATATGATTTTTTAAGAACAAATTTTTTAATAATCTAGAAATAAGAGTGGGTGGATATCATCAGATTGTACATAAATTAGAATCGCTGATTCTGGGAAATTTTAAGTTCCGAATTTTCCGATTTCAAACTGTTATCAACAAATACTCTAGAATAATGTGATTATTGAAAGTAGGTCTGCCTAATCAATCATTAAAATTTTTAGTCACACGAATTATTAAAATATGCAAAATAATCATAATTTATCATTTGTCAATTCTTTTTTATATTTATATTGATTGACCAATATTTAAAAATTATACAGTCCTAAATGTTACAATGCTACTCTTTAATCTTTTCATTTATAAATTATATTTTTAGATATAAATTTTTATCTAATTCCTGTTCTAGAAAGAGCAAATTTTATATTTAAAGAAAATTAAATTTGTTGGACGAAATTTCTGTTTTGGTTTTTGAAGTCTAGTTATAATCCTTCTTAAATGCGATTGATTCTCTTAAATATATTTTATTATGTATAAGGTTAATTATTTGTAATATTTATTTTGGCACATAAGGTATTTTATCGAAAAAATAAATCGCTCTGGCCTATGCCTAGATTACTAATGTGCTTTTTATACATTTTTTTAAAATGAATAATTATTTAATAATTTTTAAAAATTTGGAAATAAAATATAATTTACTTAGTTTTTTAAAAAATTGCCATTTTATAATAAACGTTTTAATATTAATAAATAATTAATCAAATATGTTAAAGGCTGAACTCAGAATCAATTAATGAACAAATAGTTAAAATAAAATTGCTCGTTTGAAATTTGCTAAGTAAGCCAAAAAAAATTCCTATAATAAATCGAATTTATTTATTTTTTATAACAAATAAATAAATGTCCTTTTTGTAGGAAAGGTAAAATTTAGTAAAATTGTATTAGAATTTATCAATTCCAGGACTTGTTCTTTTACTACTAAATTATTTAATACATCGTATACTTCATTTATTTTTTTTACAAATCCTTTAACAGCCAATTATTTTATTATACATATATTTTATTCGGATTCGGAATTAGTTTGTAGTGTATTTCTTATTTACATCAATGGCAAATATGAAGAAAAAATTTAAATTTGGTAAATAATCGATATATATATATTGCTTCTATGAATTTTTTTAAAAATATTCAAATAAAATCATTTGATCAGCTAGGCAAGGTCTGTCAAATTAATTTTTCAGGTAATAAAGGTTCTACGATAAGCGGGAATAAAACAATTCTATAGTGCACCTAAATATTTTACCCACACGTTTGTTTAAAAATTATTTAATGAGTTAGTTTGTTTTTTAAATTTATTTTAGTTATTAACGTTGAATGTATTAAGCCCAAAAAGTCAACATAAAGATCCGAGCTTGAACCTAAAATTAAATAAAGAATTCGGGTTCGGTTAGGCTAAAATATTTGGCCAGAGACACGGGCTTTTTTTAAAACAAAGAAAATTTTGTCGTTATCAAATAAGTTGGATATTGTTCAATTAATTTTTTCAATTAGAATTTATGGGCCTGGCTAATAAATAAATAAAATCGGCAAAAAAATAGAATTTTCCGGGTTCTAGGCTCTTCCTTATTGTACTTTGCTTGAAATTTTTAAATCCTTTACGCCTCTGGAAACTTGATTTTTAAGATAATCTAGTTATCTTATAATATCAACTAATTCTTTTTTTCTCTAACTTCTAGTTCATTCATTTCTACCAACTTAGCATTTAACTATTTGTTTATATTATTATTATGCAAACTTATCGATTTTTATCCAGATTTTTTTTCCATTTAAGATATTTTAATTGGTTGGCAAACCGATTTTTAATATTATTAACATGTGATCAAAATATTACTAAAAAGATGTGCATTCAAAATTTAACTTTTACAAGTTGGGAAGGTGTTCGATCTCTTTTTTTTAAATTTTATTTTTGTATTTCTTATTTATTAATTTATAAATATTTTATTTTTTTGAAAAGAGATATCTAGCCATTTTCTGCATTTTTATTTTTTGTGTTTAATTTTTTTTATTTTTAAATTTAAAAAAGCCTATTTTAGATTAATGCATAATCGTCGCTTGAGCATTCAAGTAAAATTGATTTCTCTTTATATATGGATAGAAAAAATATTATCCCTTTGACGCTTATATTCGTCTTCTTAAAAAATCACACTTTTTTTGGATAAGTCTTTGTCTTCGCAGGCAATTAAAAGAATGCACGAAAATTTGCAAAGAAAGACACTCACGTCTGTTTATATTGTTTACAAAAATTTGAGATAACGAAAGACAAAGCCTAATATTTTTCTTTAATTTTTTTAGATCGAATTCTGATCTATTTCTAAAATGTGAGTTAGGATCGGACACAGAACTTTGAAAATAAATATATCGGTTCTCATAAAAATTTACGAATAGTCGGGCATGAAAAAGTAGAGTTGGCTAGACATCTAGCAAAAACTACTAATGTAAATGCCGGGAACTTTCGAGGGAATTTCGGCCTTTCTATTTGAATAATTTGCATGATGTTGTTTACTAAATTCACCTGCAATAATATATCAAACCAAGTGACAAGAAGAGATACCAGAAAAGAAAATTATTATGATTTTTTGCCAAATAATTGCGTGTAAAGCCTTTGGGGTCATTATTTTTTTGGATACGTTTATTAATGCATCATAAATATCATCAACTTGATTTATGATGGCCTTTACATTCTCCTTCTTACACTCACATTGCGTTTCACGATTTTAATGTAAATTTATTCACATTATCCTTCAAAATTTGCCATCGCTGAAAAGCAGAAAAGCGAGTATATATTTGTTGGACAACGCCAAAAATGGTTTGCGACTAGTTATGATCTTGTTTTGTCATCAAGTAGCATATTTAAGCGGTTACAGCCACAAGGCTTAACTTTCTATTGCACGCTATACCAGTTAAAGCGTAAAATTTATAATACTCATTTTTTTTACTCTATATATATATATCTAAAGAAAGTAACAATTTTTTTCCCCGAATTCGAATATTTCTAATTTTTTTGGAGTATGTTAACTAGAATACACAACGCACATATAAGGGTAAAATATATTCATTTTATTCTCGAAAATTATATAATGTATAAAAATGATATACAAATGCAAAAAAATCAGTTTTTATGAAATAAAGTAAAACAATTATTTGCTGGGGTAAAACATAATGATACTCCGCATTTGTCGGACGCCACTTTTGTAATGTCCTTACAACCTGGTAATTTGCACCTGACCTTTTTGTCATTATACTTCAGCCTATGTGCAAATTGGTCTTTCTGAATTTCCGAATTTGGTAAACACTGTGCTGTACCTTTTTTACACTTTTATATATTCAGATTGCACCGATATTCGTCTATTACTCGTTGTTGAATTAATACTTTAATTTCCTTTACACAATACTTCTGCAACTGATATTTTAAAAGTTAGGAGCGACTCCTGCTCCTTCCTGGGAATTTTTAGCAGGTTACAATCCTTCCGATATAATAGCCATGTATTAGCAAGCATCATGTCAAATATATGAAAAGATACTCGGTGATACCATTTCTGGGACTTGATATGAATCCTATATAATGCTAGTAGGGAATCTATAAAATCCACTCCACCCATGTTTTTATTGTAATTTTTAACAATGGCTGGACATTTCATGTTAATGCTTTTCCTTTTTTTTCGATCGGTTTCACGTCAGATATTGGGTGGGCCCCTATAAAGCTGCTCATTAAACGGAACGATTGTCAAATCATTTGATAACAGATAAATCGACTCTATTGATCACCATTTATTTCAACAAAACGTCCTCTTCCTTTTTTTTAATCTCTTGATCTGTCGGCAAAACGCATTTTTGAGGCGATTTGCCTTAACCGTTGATACATATTATATTCCCCTTTGCGCTAATATAGTAAGTTTATGCTAGAGAATCAATTGTCAAAGCAAAACTTATAATTTTGATGCAATGGGACTGCGACAACCATGCGCAGAACTGAATTCCCACAAGCCCCTATATCTGGCATACCTTCAGCTTGGAGAATCTTCCCCTTCATAGTTATAAATAATACCATCATTTTTACATAATAAAAAAAATTTAAAACCCCACTTTTTAGGTTTTTTGTGGTTGTATTGTTTCATCCTACTTTGCCTTTTGAAAGGAACAACTTGCTCATCGACGCATAGATTTTCTCTTAGTGTAATTTCTTTTAAAATATCTTGTGATCTTCAGCATAGGTCTTATTTTATGAAGAACATCATACCCTTCAGTCCCAAAAAGACATGCTTTCATGTTGCCATTTAGGTGAAAACATGATTTTATCAACTCCCACCTTTTTACTGACAATATAAGACACATTCGTGATTCTAGTATTAGCCGTCCAATATAAACGATGGCAGATTTATAATGCTCATATAGAACAAAATTCCTATGAATTGTTCTAATTCATCTAACGATAAATTAAGGTGTTTGCTTATATCTTTTTGAATTGCATATAGATTAGATTGTAGTACTATTGTAGGAAGTATATTTCCCAACAAAAATTTGAAGTAGTATATCGGATTTTTAACTTAATTGGCAAAGAGTAAACTGTCTTTCCAATCTGGGGCTACTCGTGGGACATTAGTTAAAGAAGATTTCCATATATTTCGTCATCCTGACATCATGGATGTCTTAAGTCAGTCTCTTGCTTTCAATATCCGAATCATCTGATTCCGCTAAAAATATTTATTATAGCATAAGAAATACTAAATTTACCAGTGTCACATGGTATATATTCTTCATCAGACGAATCACTCAATTGAGAATCCTCACTATCTACCGGTATTCTAAAATTTATATCACTAGTCATTTAGCTATAAATTTATTTGATAAAATTTTTAATAAATATTTTATTATAACAAAAATCTTCTAAAGGCGCATTGTTAACCTCAGTTAACATATCATATTATTAGAAATAAAAAATGTATTATTATTTAAAATTTATAAAAATGTAATAATTATATAAAATATTATTTTTACTAGATTTCAAATATTTATAGATCCACTAGAATTTGAATGATATATAACGAATCAAAATACGAAAAATAAATTTAAATTTCTAAGGTAACCATTTTATAAAAAGTGAAAATTAAATATATAATATTTGATAGAAAAAATAATGTTATGTTCATGATTGACGTCTTTATTATAAAATATATACGTTATTTACAATATACAATGCGCGTAAATCAATTATAACAATATTTATAACAAAATATTTAAGACGTTGCCTCAGGTTTACACGGTGCAATAGAGGGTAAACGTTTGTGATTTATTTGTAATATTCGAGCCTGAACCCCTTTATTGTATCCCCTTATATTTGATCCATTATCCTAACTTTGTTCACGACAATTTTTTTTATTCTTAGTCCTAATTTTTTAAATAATGTCAAAAATGCTTATACCCGGCCTAGCTAAATTAAATATAACGGGCCGGGCCGGGCTTGAAAAATTAGGCCCGATGCAGATCACTATGCCTGATATTTATATATAAATTTTCTGGTCCCTTAAATTTTTTGCCCAGTCCGGCCCGTTATATTTAATTTAGCTAGGCCGGGATTTGCCGATCTCTAATACATAAATTAGAAACTAAAGTGGAACGCTATAATTAAAAAAATGATTAACTTTTAAATATTAACGTTTGCAGCACTGATATATTAAATTGTAAATTAATTAAATTAAGTTCTATGCTCTTCTTTTTTTGTTACGGAATATTAATATTTTTTAATCATAGCCCATATGTCTTCTATACAATTATCGACACATCTGTGCGCCGAAATAGAAATCGGTGGTTATTATTATATTTTTTTATATGCGGTTAACGACGCCGTCGAGTTTGCTAACACCTAATAAATTTACGGTTACCTCGGCAACCTACATTTTCTAATAACTATTGAAATATATTATTCATTATATGTATATAATTTATTTGGGCATTCGTTGCTTTCTCCGAAAATAGATGTATAAAAAAATATCAATTAAAGAATTGCCTTTTTTTTATCAATATATATTAAAACATTATATAAATTGAATGCTAACAAAATACAAGGTAAGCGATATGAATAGATTAGTAATAAAATTTCGTATAGATGTAAATAAATATTACCCAACGATAAAAAGATTCTTTCGCCAGATGTACCTGTTGCAGGTTTGCAGATAAACAGGGACTTTTCTAGCTAATTATCAGGTTTAAGAAGCTTCATTCATCTTTTCTCCAAAAGTTTAGAGCATCTTGTTCTGGTTTATTATGTTGGTTAAGTGGAATGTATTATTCCTGCTCCAGTTAGCGTATAATCGTTATAGTTACATTTTAAAAAGGCAATTCTAGTTACATTTTGAAATAAAAAATTCTAGTTACATTTTTTGGAATGTAATTAGTTTAAACCGGGCTTGGCTCAAATTATTATTTATCACAAATTTAATTTTTTATATATCGATCCTGACAATAAAAATTAAATCTATTAAATAAAGTAATATGAATAAAAATTAAAATTGGTTTTGTATTATCATTCGTTTAATATTATTTTTTTTATATATATAACTCCGGGCCTGGGCCATATATTTTACTTGACTTAGGGTCGGGCCTCGATTACAATTCTTTCTTCGAACTGGATTGGTTATGAACCAGATGAGAGTATTTATTTATATCGCATAATATTACAGATTATTCTTAGGCTCCAAAATACTTTGAAAAATACCTCAAATTTTTTAAATTTTATAAATTTTCGCTAATTAATAAAATTATAAAACATGTCCGAAATCTTCCATTATTTTTTTTACTAAAAACAAAAAAAATAAAGAAAAAAAAACGAGAATAAAATACGAAAAATAACATACTTTAATATTACCTACTAGTTTTTAATAAAAATTACCCAAATAAATTAATTTTTATTCAAATTTATCAATTTCTATTATTTTTTTATAAATGACGAAAACTGATTTAGAACACTTTATTTTTACATTAAAAGTAGCTTGTTATTTTTTTCTTCAAGATTTATTTATTTATATTTTTTTAGATTTTGGATACAGCCATAAAAGTAATATTTTTTCATAAAGTTCGCCTATATTGGGTCTTAATGTTTTTACTGTGACTAAGTTGGTATTTTTATTTTCAAAACTACAAGATTATAAAATTTAAAAAAAAATGCATCATAGACGCCGCCAAATGGTATCCCGAGGAATTTATGATTTTGATCGATTTGGAAACCAGGGAAATAGAGATCGAATTTACTCCTCCGCCTCTCTACTATAGATTGCGTTACTTCGAGCTTGAACTTTTCAGTGTTTGGAATTCGGAAAATAAAAATTTAAAAAGGGAGGTTCTAGGAGACAAACAAGAGAGCAAGCTCAAATATCAAATTATCGATGTTCAAGTTTAATTTTCTAAATCAAATACATTTTAATGGATTAGGTAGATATAGCGACTGAGCATTTATTATTTTTATTATAAAAAAATGGCTCGGTTACTAACTCACTTACCGATTAACATTAAGGACCTTGCAACCTGAAATAATGTTTTACATTCGCGAAAAGTCATGAACATTTTTTTTTATTGTTGCGCTTATTTTTCCATGATAATAAAAAAGTGTGGTACCAATCACTTTTATGCTTTTTAATATCGATAATTCCCTATTTATGCATTATATCTCTAGTCTATGCCAGACAATGCAACCATGGTCAAATCATTATTTGAAAAAATACCCCTTGGCACGTATCATATCACCGTAAGCTTCACACATCCCATTAATTTTTTATGTATCGTTATTGTTTATAATACCCAGTTTAGCTCATTAATTTAAATTTGAATCTATATTTTTCTCTAATTTAGTTTTACCGAACTTGAAAAATCCGTGACACGAATATTATTTAATAATGAAATAATATTATATTTTTTAGTTATATCCCTCGTCTTACGTAAATGGCGAGTGCCTTTGCACGATTGAATACCTGCAATGCTCCTGCTTGATGAACGAATCCATAGATTTTGAAATGCCAGATAGTAATGCGATTTTGGATGCATAATGAAATTCATTTTTTAATAAGCCCCTCTTGATTATTTTTTAAATTCATTATTTTCCAAAACTCATAGATTAACTCGTAATATCATCTAAGTTTTAAAGACAGTGACTTTAGTATTAAAAAAATGTAATACAATTCATTTTTCAATTATTATTTTTTTACAATTGAATACCATAAACATAATAAATTAAATAGATATTTATAAATGAAACATAAAAATGTAAAAAAAGGATTAGTTTGTTATAAATAACCTAGTTATTTTTTCGCATAAATGTTGAAATTAGACGTATAAAATTATTTATTAGTCATAAATGAAACAGCTCGGCCACAAATAGTCTATCAATGTTTTCATTATTACCCCTTTGGCTTTATGCCATAAACGTGTTATTATTTAGATTTATTAACCATTCGCTACGACTCTGATTTGCATAAATCTTGGCTGGTGTGATTTTTCAATACATCATTCTGGGAATTCGAATTATAATAAGGGTTGTTTTTTAATTTAATATTTAACTTTTCAACGAAGCAGACATGAAAATTGAAAAGATTACGAAAACAATTAGGGCCAACATAATTTGAGTCACTATGGCCGATTATTCTATATGATCGACTACATAAAAAATATTATGAAAATAACCAACTCCAATTATTTCTAATTTTTAAAAAGATTAAAATATATAGAAAATTGAAAATGGTTTTGTTGTATTCTCATATTATAAATAATTTCTCCTAACAGATGTATTAACTTCGAAAGTTATTTTGAGGTCCGTGAAGTTGGCGCCACAATTTTTGATTTTCAATGGTTTATCAGTTGGTATGATTTGTACCCGATTTGTACCGTTTTCAGTTCGATTTGTACCATCACCGTTTTTGAGATATTCAAAGAACAATATGGGGGGCCAACTTCACGACAGCCCCCCAAATTTTGAATTTAAAATTAAAAAGTGCATAGGTCGATAAAGAATGATTTGTATCGTTTTCAGTTCGATTTTTACCATCACCGTTTTCCAGCTATTGACTGTTAAAAATATGGCGCCAAAAATAAAAAACACTCAAAATTTATTTTTTTAAAAATTTTTTTAACGTACAACGATAGAGAATTTTTTTCTCTTCCTAATAATGCCTCAAATTAAGCTTTATCTTCATTATTTATTTCGGAAATCAAATTTTAAACCTTATATTATAGCGTGAAGTTAGCCCCCCCCCCCCGATATTCAAAATTTGAGATTTTCCAAATTTTTAAAACGGGATTGATTTGTACCCGATTTGTACCGTTTCAAACTCGATTTGTACTATTACCGTTTTCCAGCTATTGACCGTTAAAGATATGGCCCCAAAAATAAAAAACACTCAAAATTTATTTTTTTAAAAATTTTTTAACGTTCAACGGTAGAGAAATTTTTTCTCTTCCTAATGATGCCTCAAATTAGGCTTTATCTTCATTATTTATTTCGGAAATCAAATTTTAAATTATATTATAACATGAAGTTAGCTCCCCGATATTCAAAATTTGAGATTTTGAAAACGGGATTGATTTGTACCGTTTCAAACTCGATTTGTACTATTACTGTTTTCCAGCTTTTGACCCATAAAGATATGGCGCCAAAAATAAAAAACACTCAACATTTATTTTTTTTAAATTTTTTAACGTACAACGGTAGAGAATTTTTTTCTTTTCCTAATGATGCCTCAAATTAAGCTTTATCCTCATTATTTATATCGGAAATCAAATTTTAAACCTTATATTATAGTGTGAAGTTAGCCCCCCCCCCCGATATTCACAATTTGAGATTTTTCAAATTTTTAAAACGGGATTGATTTGTACTATTACCGTTTTCCAGCTATTGACCGTTAAAGATATGGCGCCAAAAATAAAAAACACTCAAAAATTTTTTTAACGTACAACGATAGAGAATTTTTTTCTCTTCCTAATGATGCCTCAAATTAAGCTTTATCTTCATTATTTATTTCGGAAATCAAATTTTAAACCTTATATTATAGCGTGAAGTTAGCCCCCTCGATATTCAAAATGTGAGATTTTTCAAATTTTTAAAACGGGATTGATTTGTACCCAATTTGTACCGTTTCAAACTCGATTTGTACTATTACCGTTTTCCAGCTATTGACCGTTAAAGATATGGCGCCAAAAATAAAATACACCCAAAATTTATTTTTATAAAAGTTTTTTAACGTACAACGGTAGAGAATTTTTTTCTCTTCCTAATGATGCCTCAAATTAAGCTTTATCTTCATTATTTATTTCGGAAATCAAATTTTAAACCTTATATTATAGCGTGAAGTTAGCCCCCCCCCCCCCCCCCCGATATTCAAAATTTGAGATTTTTTAAATTTTTAAAACGGGATTGATTTGTACCCGATTTGTTCCGTTTCAAACTCGATTTGTACTATTACCGTTCTCCAGCTATTGACCATTAAATATATGGAGCCAAAAATAAAAAACACTCAAATTTTTTTTTTTAACTTACAACGGTAGAGAATTTTTTTCTCTTCCTAATGATGCCTCAAATTATGCTTTATCTTTATTATTTATTTCGGAAATCAAATTTTAAACCTTATATTATAGCGTGAAGTTATCCCCCCCCCCCCCCTCCCGATATTAAAAATAGTTTGCTTATTTATAAATATTTTTCAAAAATGGACACATCATTAAGAATATTACTTTATTATATATATAAATAAATATATTTACAAAAATAAACACAATAATATATGATTTCGTTTTATTAAAGAAATATAATGATGGTTATTTTGAAGGTGTTTCTTTTGAATTTGTAGGTTATAATTCAACAGTAGTGTTTTGATTCTTTGATTGCTCCATCAAAGTCTCACATTTGAAAAATTATTTACTTCTGCTATGATTGTAGATACAATCTAAAATAATATTAAATTTATAGATTAAAAAAAATATATTTTACTGTTCAGATGGCACCCATTCCAAAAGAGCCAAAAGTTTATCATCCAAGAGCGTATTTATTTTTTAACTAGAAACCTTTGGTGTAATTTCTTTTATCAATGTTCATAAATATTTACTAATTTTTTGGTAACCTTATCCTATATTCTAAAATGATATAATATCAATTAATATATTATAAAATGATATAATATAAATTACAATATTCTAAAAATATATAAATATAAATTAATATATTCTAAAATTATATAAATTAGTATATTCTTAAATGATATAATATCAATTAATATATGAGATAAATTATACATACAATTTGGTATACATTTCAATTTTAGCGCAAAATTATAAAATAAATCAAACCAGTAAGCTTTTTTTAACGCTTACAGTAAAAAAATCTAATTTCCACAATACCATCTAAAATGCATTATAAGCTCTTCAAACGGAGCGTAATAACATATTTATGTATTTTATTATCCAAATTTTATTAATAAATCATTTATTGTTATGATAATTATACAAATCCAAATTATTATGTAATTTTTATATAGTTAGAAAATAAATTAATACATAATATAAAATCTATATCAAATTATAAAAAATTTAAATTGAGAATAGATTTCAATATAATAATGATAGGATATCAAATAGTGTATATATATATGCGGTCGATTTTTTTTAGGTATATTAAAAAAAATTTTAACTTTTAAATTATTAAAAACCTCCCATACATTATTGCGACGTAGGCAATAAGCGGATATAATGACCTAAAATATTTGGATCGTTTTGCTCATTGCCTTCATAAGCTTTACACCTCTAAGGGTGTAAATAATTTGATCAATTTTGATATAATTTGGTATTGTTTTTATATCAATTAAAGGGTATTGCCCCGTTTTTAATGTAATTTCTAATAATATATTATAACGATTTAAAAGTAAAGTAGAAGATAATATATAGTTACAAGAAATATTTGAAATTTTTTTTACATTACATAGCCCTCTATCTATAGGACAGGCTAAATAATCATTAATAATTGATTCTAAATTAGATATATTATTTATATGTTCAATTGAAAATGATAAAATGCCATTTTTGTAAATTATATTAAAACATGACTCTTTAGAACACACGACACTTTATTCCGTCATGTGTTCAAACATACCTATTGTTATTATTTTGTTAATAAGTGCATATATATTAGATTCAGCCGCAATATGGTAAACATTATTTGGTAAAATATTTGCCTTAAATAATTTGTTTAAAATGTGAATGCGTTGTTTATATGCATTTAAAATATGCTTATTAGTTAAACTTTCCCCTATATTTGTTAAAGAAGGGGATGTTAGAGTCATATAGTTTTTGTAAGCCGGGCTATCTATATTAGCTGATGTTATTAGTTGAATAAAGGCGCCTATAGCACATGTATTCGTCGTCGTGTATTTTTTTCCTTCATAACTTACCGATCCACATAAATTCCCATTTTTGAGAAGGCGAACTGGATAGTGGTCTTCTTTTGCATCACCGCTAATATAATGCCAATAAGATCCCCTTCTTTAACAAATATAGGGGAAAGTTTAACTCATAAACATATTTTAAATGCATATAAACAACGCATTCATATTTTAAACAAATTATTTAAGGCAAATATTTTACCAAAATGTTTACCATATTACGGCTGAATCTTATATATGCACTTATTAACAAAATAATAACAATAGGTATGTTTGAACACACGACGGAATAAAGTGTCGTGTGTTCTAAAGAGTCATGTTTTAATATAATTTACAAAAATGGCATTTTATCATTTTCAATTGAACATATAAATAATATATCTAATTTAGAATCAATTATTAATGATTATTTAGCCCGTCCTATAGATATAGGGCTATGTAATGTAAAAAAAATTTCAAATATTTCTTGTAACTATATATTATCTTCTACGTAACTTTTAAATCGTTATAATATATTATTAGAAATCACATTAAAAACGGGGCAATATCCTTTAATTGATATAAAAACAAAACCAAATTATATCAAAATTGATTAAATTATTTACACCCTTAGAGGTGTAAAGCTTATGAAGGCAATGAGCAAAACGATCCAAATATTTTAGGTCATTATATCGCTTATTGCCTACGTCGCAATAATGTATGGGAGGTTTTTAATAATTTAAAAGTTAAATTTTTTTTAAATATACCTAAAAAAATTCGACCGCATATATATATATACACTATTTGATATCCTATCATTATTATATTGAAATCTATTCTCAATTTAAATTTTTGTTATTTTTTATAATTTGATATAGATTTTATAATATGTATTAATTTATTTTCTAACTATATAAAAATTGCATAGTATAATTATCACAACAATAAATGATTTATTATATATAAAATTTGGATAATAAAATACATAAATATGTTATTACGCTCCGTTTGAAGAGCTTATAATGCATTTTAGATGGTATTGTGCAAATTAGATTTTTTTACTGTAAGCGTTAAAAAAAGCTAACTGGTTTTATTTATTTTATAATTTTGCGCTAAAATTGAAAATGTATACCAAATTGTATATATAATTTATCTCATATATTAATTGATATTATATCATTTAGGAATATATTAATTTATATAATTTTAGAATATATTAATTTATATTTATATAATTTTAGAATATAGTAATTTATATTATATCATTTTATAATATATTAATTGATTTTATATCATTTTAGAATATAGGATAAGGTTACCAAAAAATTAGTAAATATTTATAAACAATGATAAAAGAAATTACACCAAAGGTTTCTAGTTAAAAAATAAATGCGCTCTTGGATGATAAACTTTTGACACTTTTGGAATGGGTGCCATCTGAACAGTAAAATATATTTTTTTTATCTATAAATTTAATATTATTTTAGATTGTATCTACAATCATAGCAGAAGTAAATAATATAATGTGAGACTTTGATGGAGCAATCAAAGAATCAAAACACTACTGTTGAATTATAACCTACAAATTCAAAAGAAACACCTTCAAATTAACCATCATTATATTTCTTTAATAAAACGAAATCATATATTATTGTGTTTATTTTTGTAAATATATTTATTTATATATATAATAAAGTAATATTCTATATGATGTGTCCATTTTTGAAAAATATTTATAAATAAGCAAACTATTTTGAATATCGGGTGGGGGGGGGCTAACTTCACGCTATAATATAAGGTTTAAAATTTGATTTCCGAAATAAATAATGAAGATAAAGCTTTATTTGACTCATCATTAGGAAGAGAAAAAAATTCTCTACCGTTGTACGTTAAAAAATCTTTTAAAAAAATAAATTTTGAGTGTTTTTATTTTTGGCGCCATATCTTTAACGGTCAATAGCTGGAAAACGGTAATAGTACAAATCGAGTTTGAAACGGTACAAATCAATCCCGTTTTAAAAATTTGAAAAATCTCAAATTTTGAATATCGGGGGGGGGGCTAACTTCACGCTATAATATAAGGTTTTTGATTTCCGAAATAAATAATGAAGATAAAGCTTAATTTGAGGCGTCATTAGGAAGAGAAAAAAATTCTCTATCGTTGTACATTAAAAAATTTTAAAAAAATAAATTTTGAATGTTTTTTATTTTTGGCGCCATATTTTTAACGGTCAATAGCTGGAAAACGGTGATGGTACAAATCGAACTGAAAACGGTACAAATCATTCTTTATCGACCTATGCACTTTTTAATTTTAAATTCAAAAGTCGGGGGGCTGTCGTGAAGTTGGCCCCCCATTTTGTTCTTTGAATATCTCAAAAAGGTGATTGTACAAATCGAACTGAAAACGGTATAAATCGGGTACAAATTATACCATCTGATAAACCATTGGAAATCAAAAATTGTAGGGCCAACTTCACGGACCTGTTATTTTGTTATTATTATATAAAAAAAGAAATTTTAAAGGATCATTCATTGATTATTATAAAAATTTATGCTTAATTTATCTTATAAGAATAAAAATAAAAAAAGAAATATAGTTATAATTTAATCATAAAATTTATATAAAATGTAAAATTTCCATAATTATATCGGGAGAATTCACATTACAATGGAACGTAGTTTACTCTTTTTTTCGACTTATGAAAATTCTGGTTAAAGCTAGTTTTTGTCTCTATTATTAACCAGCAGTTGTCAATATAGGGCAAGGAATACTACTTGATTTAATTGTCACTGGAATAGTTTATTTGGTTTTTAAAGGATTTATAAGAATATTTTTATAGTAAATTTTATATATTTTAATGTGGAAGTAGTTTAAAAAAAATATTTTTACTAAAAAATCAGAAGTGGGTATGGAGTGAACTGAAAAACTAGAATGGAAGGTATCGCACCATCTTAAGTTTAAATGTGCCTGTTTCTTAAAAAAAGATTAATTCTCACTATCTTAAACCGATTCACTAGCAGCTAGCAACCTTTTGATCATATTCCTTATTTATATCATATACGGGTATTTAGCCTATTTTGATAATCTTCTTCTTCACCTTTTTTTAAACTTATATCTAGTAATTTTGAAAGCATGATTTTTTAAAAAATATTTTAAAGTTCTTAACGACGCCGCCACATGGGGTAAGTATCAAAATGTGGAGCTGCTAGGCCATCCCACCACTCAAGGACCTCTATCATTATTACCGATCTCCCAGCAAACATTGATCACTAAAGAAGATCGCCATGCGCATCATTACAATTATGCAGATAATGATACACGCTTATCCGGTTTATATTCGAAATTTTATTTGAGATTATGCTAATTTTTTTCTATTAATATTAGAAATATTTGCACAATACCAATTTTTTCTATCCGATCCATAGAATGAAATTCATTTTCCCGACTTAACCCGTAAAAATAAAAATATACAAATTTTAGATCTTACCCCAAAAAAAATTAATTCTAATTTCCTCACCTAAACCGTTCGTAAAATCAATATATTTTTTTTATCTGAAAGATTATTTATTTTCTAGTATCATATAATTTTTAATTCTGATTAATTATGGAAAAAAATTCTAAGCGAAATAATATGCCTCTAAAATTATTTTTAAATTGTAGAGATTTATTTTATAATTATATTCTTCCGTATTTCTCATTTGCATAGCATTTGGGTTAGGGAAATTCAGTGACAAATCAATAGCGATTCGGCTGACCCCTCTCGATTTTTTGAAATAGTAAGCAAAGAAAGGTTAAAGTATCCAAGAAATCGCCTAAATTTTAGCCTCCTAACATTAAAATTTTTGGAAATATTAGGGTTCAAAATGGCAAAAACAATGTATTTACCAATATCTGCCTTTATTCAATTAATCATATCTTAAAAAGTATATAAATGTAGACAAGTTTAATATCAAAAAAAAATTTTGATTTTTTTAATTCCGGCAATCTTATTTATTAATAAAGAAAAAACTAATTTTTGGAAATAATACTTCTTTCAATATAAAATTGTTAGTAATCTTTACTAAATTTCTCTTTTACATTTATAAAAAAATTTGGTTTGGTCGCGTCTGCTTTCATTTTCAAAATCGATAAAAATGATTAGATAAGTATTTAATTTTTTTCCCAAAAGGAAGCGTCTTTAAAATTACATATATTAATCTGTTTTTATTAATGATTTTTCTTAACGTATTTGATATAATTTAAAGGATTGTAAGTGAAAATAACAATCAATGTGGATTTTAATCAATAAAAGAATTTTCAATCTATTAAAGAAATTCAATTTACTACATCATTTAATGATAAAATTATTTATCCTTATACAGGCGCGTAACCAGCGGGAGAGGGGGCAGCAAAAATTTTTGAAAAATTATAATAGTTTTTTGTATTGCAAAGTGTTTTATTTCAAATAGGATATATTCTATTTTAAATTTTATCAGTTAAAATTAATTTAAATATGTTATCCTTGTGTATTAATATTTTATCCCGCGAAAATTTAAAGTAGATTTTCTTACATTTTTATTAATGGATAAAAATTTTATCAACCAAATAATATTATATTTAATTTATCTCTGCTAATAACTATGATTAGGTAAAATTTATAGTGTATGAAATGTTCAGATATCCTATGAGGAAGAATTTGCTGAATAGAATTATTTCTGAGACTTCTTGTCCTACAAAAAAAAATAAACTGCAAAAAACTTGCCCGATAAGATGGAGCCTTAGACATCTGCGTTATACCATTTTTGGATCTAGAAGAACCTTTTTTGACTGCTCTTTAAGAAATATAAGAATTACCTGAACCAGATATTTCACCTGAAGCTGATATATTATTAGATTTAATACGACAGCCGATTTTTTTGCATTGGAATATATTAATAAAATATTTGCACAACAATTTTATGCAATATTTTTCAAAAAAATGATATGGATTTGGTCGAGGTTATGAGAATCGCGAATATTATTATATTACAACTTAGAAAACTAAGAGATAATATCGACTCATAATTTTACGAGATTTGTGTGATTGTTGAGGCGAAATTACTATACAAATAAATCATCACAGTATTAACATGAACTCAGTTGAGTATTACTATAAAATAACTGTTATTATTCCACTTTTAGATACATTTATCAAATCAATCAACGATTTGTGATTCATCAAAGGTTCTATCTAATTTAACAAATACTATTATAGTAGAAATTCGTCTGAAAATTAAATAGTGATATTGAAAAATTAAATAGATAGCACAATTTTATTCATAAGATATAAATGTATCTGAAAGCCAATTAATTTTATAATTTAAATTTTGGCATGAAGGATTAATAGACTCCAAGTAACCCATGAATCATTGCATACTTTAAAATACATTTTATAGCTTTTTCCAAATATATTAAGGTTATTATATATTTTTGAAATATTGTACAATTTATTTTATTTTTAACTGTCTTAATATATTTTGTAATGCAGTTTATATATCTTTTACTAATCAATCTAAATACATCAATTAATCATCATACACAATTAACAATATATTTGAATACAATTAATCATATTATTAAATTAATTGCCTTTGAGGTTAATTAATTCTATTACAAATTTATCAACAATACCTATTAGAATGGGAGGATCTTTTCATCATTATGGAGAATAAAATCTTATCTCAGTAGTGCATCATAAAATTGACTGAATGGACTAGCTCCCTTAATATACATATAGATTTAATCCCCAATACAAAATAACTTATTGAAAATATGGCGCAATCGCATGGAAGATTAAATTTCCATTATGAACTATATTTTAATTAAATTTTTAAACATCATGGAATGTTTACTTTATATTTATTGTGATTTTACCGGTTTATATAGCTATAATGTTTTTTAACATTATTATATTTGCTATTAAATATTTTTGTATTCCAATTTTTATTATTTGTCGGAAATTTTTATTTTTTAAAATATGATTGGCTATAATGAGAAAATTCCTGGCTACACGGCTGTCCATATGGCATTTAATGAATATTAATAAATAGTATGTTTAATAGAGTTTAGTGTTCTTGATGAATCGGAATCATATGTATTACATATATCCCCCCCCCCCCTTTCCACCAATTAAAAGGTTGTTATAATGAATATTTAAAAAATCTGATATATAACTAACTTTTAAACTATTCTAATTTTTCGGTAGCACATTTATTTACTTTCTTGTGACGACATTATATAGCCTCAGCCACTAGCCATTAACGGTGAATTAAGATCATTTTGGCTAGTAAATAGTGTCATCTATACTTGGAAATGTAAAGGAATTTGGTCAGGAGGGGTGTAAAAAACTTATATGTCTTCCTGTTTTTGATTTTTCCCTAAAACAAAGGCTAATCATCAATTCAAACTTCCTTTTAAAAAAAGGCTCTTATAGTCCTTTTAGAACCTTGCACACTTTAAACAGGTGATTGCCTAAGACTTGATGTGATCAATATCCCTTGGCCCTGGAGGAATCTCTTATTTGGGATTATACATGCTTCTCAACCTTCCCCTTCAGTATAAATATAAACAGCTACCTGCTTATAATCAATAAATATAAAAACCATCTGCAATTTTATATTCTCCCGGACAGCTTACGCTTATCATCTTTAGTTTAATATTTTTTTAGCTCTCAGATCCTTAGGCAGAACACAGACACACAATTAGATACTTTTAAATTCAACCTTGATTTAATGATATCACAATTTAAAATTATAAAAAATTATTTTCTCTACCCGACCCATTCCTGAAATAAAAAATAAATCCCAAGTTACATCTAGTTCTGGATTAGATCGAGTTTTACCGACCTCTAATCGAATGTTTATTGCCAAATAAATATTAATATTTTTATAAACTTATCTTTTTCTTATATGCGTAAAAATTAAGTTAATACATTAAATCAGTGGCCCCTACACTTTCTGAGTGAATGAAGCAGAATACCCCCTTGGAAAGTATCCCCCCCCCCTCGAAAAAATAATAATTATTTTATGACACCCATAAATTTCATAAATAATTTTTATTGCATCAATTTTTAATATATAATATAAATAAAATGCAAAAAAAATATACTTTATAAATATTATTTTAAATTAATATTTTAGATAAATTAGGGGAAGAGAAAGCGAATTTATAATTTCATCAATATTTAATTGTTTAAATAAAATTTTTTCCATTGATAATATGGTTAAATTATTGAGAAATGAATCTTTCATGGTACTACGAAGTCTTGTTTTAATTAATTTAATTTTACTCTTGACTCTTTCGGCAGTACATGAGGTTGTAGGAAGTGCAGCATAAAACACACCTATTTTAAAGCTAAAATTTTTTTATATTTAATGATGAAAGTATATATATACCTCTCCTTTTTGGATTGTAATGTTTGAAGTCTAGAACTTTCAAAATCAAAAGGTAGATTTCTATCCTTCATAAAATCTTGTGCCTTTGAAAAAACATCCAAAAATTCAGTGTTATTATCTATTAGATTAAAAAATAATTAAGGCAATAATTTATATTATACTTCTCAAATTAATCAAGCAATCTTTTGCCAATTGAATTTGATTTATTGCAAACCCTATATCCTTCGAAATGGTTTGCAATTTTGTACAAGCCAAACTTGTTATCAACAATATTTTATCCAAAACACAAAGTGATAAGATAAAATCAAATTTTTCTATTCTAAAGACTATAGCACTAGCCATAGTGGAAGTCGCAGGATCTTCAGAATCCTTTAAATTTGTTAAAGCTGCCCTCAAGGCATCATAAAGTAGAAAAAAATTTACAATAGCTTTTATGACGATAGCCAGCTTCTAAATGAAAAAATCTTTTAAATCTAAATAAATAAGGTACTATTACCGAGTGGTATTCTTGATGCGTAGAAATCGTTGCGATTTTTTCAGATCATTACACTGACATTTTTCTGAGTACCTCATATCTTTTTACACCATTAAAATCTCATCTAATATTCTTAGTTCGAAGTTCTTTAATTGATTGGCATAATTGAACAATGATTAAATTTAATCGATGACAACACCAAATAAAAGCTGCCTTTGGCGCCTCTGCTCTAATCAAGGCCTGCACACCATTGATTCTTCCATTCATGTTTGAGGCGCCATCATAACTTTGCCCAATTAGAAATATAAGGGGTAAATTCATCGAACCGAGTTTGGATATTATATTATGCTTAATATCGAGACCTGTGGTATTTCCCGTACAATATATGTCAATCAGTCTTTCAACGGGCTTCGGCGTCTCACTATTTTCAACATATCTTACT